AGTTAGAACCCCCCCCCACATGATTTACTCACCCTCAAGCCATCCTAGGTGTATATGACATTCTTCTTTCAGACGAATACAATTGGAGTTATATTAAATAATGTCCAGGCTAATCCATGCTTTATAATGGGAGTGGATGGTAGTTGGAAGTCCACACGGCTCCGGGAGGTTAATAAAGGCCTTCTGAAGCAACGCGATGCGTTTGTGCAAGAAAAATATCCATATTTACAACTTTATAAACCTCTAGCTTCCACTAACTGTTGTACGCTCTTTCATGAGAGAGTGGCGTCCAGCTGATGACTGCAAACGCGGTGACAAATGCGGAAGTGATGAACGTGGAAGCGCAGAGGAGAGAGCAAAACACAACACCGGTCACAAATTAGTAGTACAAAACAAGGATTTGTAAAGAAAAATGTCGGAGGATTTTGATATAAGCCAAGAGGACACTGGGTTTTCCTTTGCTGTAAACAAAACTTGTTTCTCGCGAGACTAGCATATTCTCACCGGAGCTTATAGGCTTGTTCAAGATTCATCGGCACTGTACAGACCGATCGTCGTATGACATAAAAGTACCGCGAGAGTGATTCAAAAGCATAAAGAGTCGTCAGCTCTCTAATCACACTCACGGTACTTTGATGTCATACACCGATCGGTCTGTGCAGCGCCGATGCATCTCGAACAAGCCTTATGCTATGCCTACGTCCTACGTCATCCACTGGATGCTAGAGATTAAGGTTTATAAATTTGTAAATATCGATATTTTTCTAACACAAATGCATCGTATCGCTTCAGAAGGCCTTTATTAACCCGCCGGAGCCATGTGGACTTCTTTTATAATGGATGGGTGCAACTTTTTTGGACTTCAAATTAGGATTAGCATGGACATTATTTAATATAACTCCAATTGTATTCGTCTGAAAGTAGAATGGGGGCTTGAGTAAATAATGGGGCAATTTTCATTTTTGGGTGAACTATCCCTTTAAGGTCAGTCATAATGGCAGGTGTTTAGGATACTTAATGTAATGCTTTTTAGACATAAAAGCGCACAGTTCAGCAGTATCAGTGTTGAAGCTGATTTAAACAGTCATAGTGATTTTTATGACTTATGATCATTTTGACATTTAAACTGGATGTCTGTGATTCAGAACCTGACAGGAAATTACTTTCTCATTCTCAACAATGTGAAGAGGTCTAACAGTGTTTTCTATGTGGGGGAATGTAAGAGAAGCTCTTTTTTGAAAAAATAAATCTGTCCTTGGTTCCAAGCAGCATTTCCATCTTTTCATCTAACCTTGTAAGCTATTAGACTTTAATGGAAGGAGATTGTACCCAGTCAATAAGGTTTGATTGAATCCTGCTACACTAAAACACTACATCAGTTTTCAGTACATTCAACTAGTTTGGCCTAAAAGTAGCTCCAAGATGACGCAGCTTTTCAATGAATAGCCACAGGGGGAAATTGATTGTGAATGGCGGGGTGCCACTGATTTCTGTGTCATAGAATAAGGCCATATTTGACACATGCATGCATTTATGCTGCCAGCTCATGTAGAATGTCAGTTGTTTGTTAAACCTACTCAAAACATATAGAATCTTTAAAATGCAAGAACTTGCACTACAAACATGAAGTCACCACAGCTGAAATATTCATGATGCTGATGCAACATTGGCTTGATAAAACTAAAAGTACAATAGTACTGTATGTGAGACTTCACAGTCTTATCAACATCTAAAAATGCCTTAGCATCACAGCTGAAATGCAACCAGGGCTTGCCGGCTAGTCCGACGTCCTGGGGCTATTGAGTCTTCCAGTCGGGCTACCAAAATGTACACCGGGCGGGCTCTCTTAAATACAGGGCTACCACGGGTACTTAAATTTAAGGACATAAGTTTTAAATACCTTGAATGTTATAAGAAAAGTCTTAATTATAATTTCAAGAGGTCTTACATTTGGGGAGGGAAAGACAAGGATCGTGAAACTTCAAAAGGCTATGATTTCATTGAATAAATATGAGCGCTGCACATTTCAAAGTCAAAATGCAGCGCAGGTGTTTTTATATGAATGTATCTCTGATAATAATACAGCTTCTGAATATTGCTTACAAATTTGAAGGCTTCTTATTGTTTAAAATACAAGTAAACATATTCTGCTACACATTATGAAGAGCTTACCTGTACAACCTACTTAGCTAAGCCATGCCATATGTGAAATGGTGCAAACAAATTAGGTTACATACTAACAAGTAGCTACTAAGGCCCATTGTGTAAACTTTACATCCTAGTTAAAGTAAGACTATAAAAACACCAATGCAACCTTATACTCTGAATATTGGGAGTAGGCATTATTCTGTTGTTCTGCCAAGTTCTGCGCAGGCAAACAACACTCATGTTGTCTTCAGTAAATGTGAAAATCAAGTGTGAAATAGTATCGCCTAACAGTGAGGACTACAAAATGTTAGACACAAGAAAATTCATGGATAAAAGCCATTGTATATTGCTGTAGATACCTTATAAGAAACTGATCTTAAGCCACAAATTCTCTTTCATCCATCTGCTTGCAGCCCTGTAGAGACACCCTTCAGCTGTGCCTCTTTAAAGAGTCCATCAAAGAAGGAACAGGCTGCATGGATGATAAGTGACAGAAACACAGCGATAGGGTAACACTGGACAAAATGTCAAAGTGCGTTCTAATCTAGCCCTTCCACCAAAGAACTTCTCACTCTAAACAGGATTTGAGGAGCTAGTAGTGAAGCCAATCTTTGCCAAAGCCTAAGCAGTCAATTTTATCGCCATGCTCACTTCATTCTATCATTGGCAATGATGAAACGCCACTGCTGAGAAATATCTGAGTATTTTTACAAAGACTCCCACATTGTTTTCTTCACAAATGACCTTGTGGGTTGAAAATAAAAAAAACCCATCAAAGAAGGAACAGGCTGCATGGATGATAAGTGACAGAAACACAGCGATAGGGTAACACTGGACAAAATGTCAAAGTGCGTTCTAATCTAGCCCTTCCACCAAAGAACTTCTCACTCTAAACAGGATTTGAGGAGCTAGTGAAGCCAATCTTTGCCAAAGCCTAAGCAGTCAATTTTATCGCCATGCTCACTTCATTCTATCATTGGCAATGATGAAACGCCACTGCTGAGAAATATCTGAGTATTTTTACAAAGACTCCCACATTGTTTTCTTCACAAATGAGCTTGTGGGTTGAAAATAAAAAAAACAGTGGTGCACTAGAGATGAAACAATTTACAACCAATTATTTTTATGTTATGACAGACAGCCAATATAATTGCTGATTCTAAAAAGCCATATAGCTAGAATAAAAACACTGCAATCAGAATTTACATGCTGCAGGAGAAACGGTTTAGTACTTTTTTTAACCTGTCACAGAAAAATTATAGTGGAAAAACATGGAAAAATATTTTGGGAAATGTGGGATTTTCTTTGAGTGCCAACTTTCCAGTTTGGGGAAGTCAATTTAAGTATTATGGGAAAGTAAATCAGAATTTATCATAATTTAGTGGCAATGAAGATTGTTGTCTAAATTTATTTTGCATGCATTTTGTATACTGTTGAAGAAAATTTATTTTTAGTCCCCTTTAGAAATTCTATTGACCATAAGTAACTTTGCAACTACAACTAACTCTCATTCGAGTATTGATAGACTGTTATGTTAGTTTACGGTTAGTAGAATAAGTTACAAAGAAAAAATAATGTGGGCACATTGAAATTACAGCTCCGAAACACACCTTTTTGCACCTTAAAGGGTTAGTTCACAAGGGTTAGAGTCTATATGACTTTCTTCTTTCAGACGAATCCAGTCGGAGTTATATTAAAAATGGTATTTGATCTTTCAAGCTGTTTAATGCCACTCAGCGGGTGTTGCATGCATCCATCCAAAAGCAGTTAAATAAAATGCGCCCCTCCATAAAAAAAAAGTGTCTCACACGGCTCCGGAGGGTGAACAAAGGCCTCCTGTAGCGAAGCGATGCGTTTTTGTAAGAAAAATATCCATATTCAAAACGTAATAATCACTTTAATCTAGCTTGCGCTCACTGTTGTACACTGGAAGCAGTTCCGGGGGAATGACGTATGAGGTCAGCGCTGCGCATGCGCCGCTCAGAAGTGACGAACACGGAAACGCAGCGGAGAGATCAAAACAAAACAACGGTCACTAATTAGAAGTACAAAACGAGGATTTGTAAAGAAGAATGTCAGAGGATTTCGATATAAGCCAAGAGGAGACTGGTTTTCTTTTGCTAAAGTAAGGAAACTTTGCTTCCTTTGCTGCTCTTAACAAACGTTGGTTTTCACGAGACTCACTGGGAATGCGCAGTGCTGACCTCATACCTCATCCGCCCGGAACTGCTTCCAGTGTACAACAGTGAGCGCAAGCTACATTAAAGTGATTATTACGTTGTGAATATGGATATTTTTCTTACAAAAACACATCGATTCACTACAGGAGGCCTTTGTTCACCCCCCGGAGCCATGTGAGACACTTTTTTTTTATGGATGGGCGCATTTTATTTAACTGCTTTTGGACGGATGCAACATCCGCTGAGTGCCATGAAAGATCAAAGACAATTTTTAATATAACTCCAACTGGATTCGTCTGAAAGAAGAAAGTCAAATACACCTAGGATGACTTGAGAGTGAGTAATTTATGGGCTAATTTAAATTTTTGGGTGAACTAACCCTTTAATAGTACTAATTTAGTTGTGTTTATGAGATGACAAGCATGTGCAACAAAACTATTTTGCATCATCCTCTACGGCAGCATGTGCATCCTTTGTTCTTAAAACTCATCTTTGCCAGTAAGTGTAAAAAAAAAAAGAAGTATTAAAATATATTTGAACATATTGCAAGTAGTAATTACATCATCCAAACTCATCCGCATTCCACTTACATCTTGAAAACAGCAAGTCACCGATGCGGTCACTGATAATGTCCAGATTTTATGCATCCACACAAAAGGTTGTTTTGCTCACCTGCCGGCGTCAGCAGATGTGATGGCGATGAGTGGGAGGGTGCGCAGTGCCAGGGTGGTGGGACGGGCGATCGGCTCAGTCTCTTTGCTGTTCCAGTCATGTTGCTCAGCTTGCCGGAAGACCAACGGGGGCAGTTGCAGGTTCCGACTGGAACGTCTGCGCACTTGGAAGAGCTCCAAGCCTGGAGCGGCTCCTTCCTCTGCTTCTAGGTGCTCTGTGGACCCATCACACACCTGGCACAACATAAAACACAAACTCTGTTTACTAGTGCTCTACCTTTCACAGAGTAGTGTGGAATAAATAATGCACTGACTGGGCAGGCTGTGTTGAATACACTGCCCTACAGAAATGTATTGGGTTTATGATAGTTCGAGTAGTATTCATATAAATGCAGAGGGGCAGTAAACTACACACACACACTCCCCAGATCAGCCAGTTGTCAGAGTACCGAATCAAATAGCAAAAATAAAATGAGGCAAGATACATGCAATGCATCAGCTTGCTTCATGTGTTGTTTTCTGAGATATTTTAGTTTCTACTCACTGAAATGTTTCAGAATCTCTCAAAATGTGCTCTATGAAGAGGTTATCAAATCTTCACATTTCATATCTTTTATGTGATCAAAATCAAAAGGAAAAAAATACAAAACAAATAATAAGACCAATAAGCACATTTTCCCCCAAATTACCAGATGGTGTCTGAAGCTATTATTCTCAATTGTGATTCTCATTACTGTAATATAGTTTGTTTTTTTTACTATATAATGAACTAAGTATTTAACTAAACAAAAAGCAGTACAATGATGTAGAAATGCTTTACCTATTATAATAAATTTTGGCCTAAAATAGGCTTAATTTTTACAGAGCAAAATCTGATTTTGGGGTGAAATATGACATGGATTTGTTCTTGACAGACTTCATGAGATTCATTCTAGTATAAATAGATTTGTAGAAAATGAGTGGTTATAATAGAGGCACCCCGAGATGAATGTCCAAATTAAGTAAATTAATTTTTTTAAAGAGTATGTCAAACCTCTTGGGACTCTTGGGGCTATGAATCAGTCTAAATTTAATCTGCCCAAACCTTTCTTGTACGTGCTAGTAAAAAATTAGCAATTTTTTTTTTATTAGTGAAAAAAACATGCTAAAGTGTGCAGCAAATACAATTATCAATTTAGTTATCTAGTCATATTTTTGGTACCGCACTTGCAGTCTTATTAGTAAGTAAAACTTAGTTTAGCTTTCTAAACACTCTCTCATGGTGTCCCAAAATGAGCAAAGCAAGCAGAAAAATGCCCAAAAAGCTTGTGTTTTCTGGGCTTACATTAATTAATTAAGATGTCAAATGTTCTGTCATGCATCATTATTTATGGAACATTTAACCAACACAATTCTCCCAAATAAAATCAAAGAATGTGCTCTCTTTAGAAGCAATCTAATAACAAAGGAGGCCAAGAAGACAGCGACTGACAGTAAGAAGGTGAAAAGTAAAAAAAAAAACAATATATACAGTACAATACACTCAATTCCCCTGGTACACTCTCTGACGCCCACAAACAACTCTGGAGAATCACCTAATAGGCTGTGTTTACATTACTAGCGCCTTTTCCAATGAAGGGAACCGATATGTGAGCAGCATCCATTCACTCTGCATGTCCCATAGGGACTGTTGAACTGTGTTGCAACGAGATGGAAAGCATGCTGTCAGAGGAAAGGTAACGAAGCCTCTGTGTTTTGCATTTTCCAAGCTGCTACTTTATTAGCATAAGTAGTTCGTCAGTGTAAAAACAAAACTTATAAAGAGAGAGGTTTCCGTGGAAAAGAGACACTAATTTGCATTTTGCATGGCTTCATTTGCCCATGTGCATACACACAACTAATACTTCATATTTCAAGCTCTCGCTCTCTCTATTAACTGGGCCAATAACTTAATGCATTCATCATGACTGCATGTACACAAAAAGTATCAAAACAGCTATCAAATTAAAGCTCACCTCTATTTCCCCTTTTTGCAATAAGCCCCTAATGCACAATTCATTATTATACGAGTAGTTTGACTCATCCACTGAAGCCTGTGGGCATGTTGAAAGCCGCGGCCCCCAGCACAAAGCATCAAGGGCTTCATTTGTAGTCTGAGCAACATCTCACACCGAAGGCACATAAAATGCATCCATGTGACTAAACAAGGGGACGGAATTAGCGAAAGAAGCTCGGTTGGTTGGGCACAATATCATGAAAATTGCAGAAACACAATAAGAAGATGTGCAGCGTTATTATAGAGTCAGAGTCACGTCAGTTTAAAATAGTCTTTCAAAGTGGCTGTGGAGATGCAGATCACAGTGATGGTTTGAATGGCACGGCGTGCAGCGGAACAAAAGGTGTGAACCATCCACCTGCGGCTCATGGCAGAACACGGCACTTTGTTCGGCGAGAAAACAGAGAAAGGGGAATGTGAGGCTAATTTCAACTATTTGCCAGATGTATTCTGGGAAGAAAAAGGAGGCAGAGGTTATCAGTTGGGCGTGGGCTTGAATGGTTTGAACATCTTGCTCTGGACAATGGAGCATGACTCATGCTTGAGAGCTACTAAAAGCTAGATTGACTGAAAGGCCTAAAAACAACCAGAACTAATCGATAGATGTTTATAAAAACAGATCTGAGTTGGCCATGTTCAGAACTGGAAAATACTTCAAATTAATTCTATATTAATATAACACAAGCCAGTCACCTATTTTACATGGTGGAATAAAATGTTAAATTCAATTTTATTTATTAAATTAATAATATTAATAATATCAATCAAAGATTAGTTACTCATCATGCTTAAAGGAATTTCTTATGCTTATTGCTTTAATGTAATCAGTGGGTTTATATTATACATATATATACACTACCATTCGAAAGTTCGGGGTCAGTAAATTTGTATATATTTAGGATATATCTTGATCAAAAGTGGCATTAAAAACTTCTAAATTGTCACAAAAAAATTGTTTCAAATAAATGATGTTCTTTCAAACTTTATATTCAAAGAATCCTGAAAAATTAAGCTGCACAACTGTTTTCAACATTAATAATAAGAAATGTTTCTTGAGCAGCAAATCAGCATATTAAAACGATTTCTGAAGGATCATGTGACACTGAAGACTGGAGTAATGATGCTGAAAATTCAGCTTTACGTCACAGAAATAAAATGTTTTACAATATATTCACATAGAAAACAGCTATTTTAAATTGTAATAATATTTCACAACATTACTGTTTTTTTTACTGTTCTTTTACGGTTTAATCAAATAAATGCAGCCTTGTTGATCCTTCTTTCAAAAATATAAAAAATTCTTACTAACTAAACTTTTGAATGGTAGTGTATACATATATACAAAATACACCGTTAAAATGGCTAAATTATTATTATTATAAATATTAGTTCATATCCAGCGTATGATGGGATGCAACCAAAATGCTTTTTCCAGCATGAAATGATAGGGATCCTAACTGGCCCAGATGGTAAATTAATCATAGGTGTACCGTTGCTCTCTGCAAATGTTAAGGCTCCTGAATTGGCTTGCAGTGGGAGAACACGCCCACCTCCGTCACTGGAGGATGAGCTCAAATATTCATGTCATTTCACAGTAGCTACAATCGGTTACAGTCATTGGCCGTATATATTATAAGAGCCAGAATTCAAGTCACTCAGAGAGACCGAGATTGTTCTCTTTACTCCAAATGGCCTTGACTCACGCAAATGGAATGTGAGGCAGATGTCGTTTTGTGCAAGTATCACGTCTAATTGTGTGTGCATAATTTACACCATTAGTCCTTCACAGAGCAGACAAACACAGCCTTATCCCTCAATGTTATTTATCCCTTGCTGGATGGCCTGACAGTGTTTCAGAAAGTGAAAAAAATCAGGATACATCCATCCAGTGTGTGAAGTATTACAGGGATCAGGGAATAAATCAGCTGTTTCATCACTCATCCGTCAGTCGAGGTATCCCGGGAGTTACAGGAGCCCGTGTGCAGCAGGAGAGATCGGATCAGCGCAGTACCGTTGTTCACCGTCCAAAGGCCTGTTAATAACCGAGAAGCCATTTACAACATTAATCTGGCAGATCAGACAGCATGAGCTATCTTTTGGCTTTTGCTAAGTCCTAACCTTCTCTTAGATGCCTTGATTATCTCTGTAGAGACGAATCGCTTAATTATCTCGAAAAAAGCATTTTCATTACTTTTCAAGAGTCAACGTGAAATAATGTTTGTAACTCTTTTACTTGTGTAATGTGCCATAAATTCCAGTAAAACAGGATATTCATTGAAAAAAAGCACAATTATATGCACTGGGAGTTGAATTGTATTGAGCTGAAGACATAAAAAGCATCACTGAAAAAAAAATTGGTGTACAAACAATTTTCACTCAGAAATTGCTAGTAAATTTCGCAATTACAAAGAAACAGCAAGTAACGCACGGAAATAAACATGTAATTTTGAAGTAGAAAGACTGAAATGGTATTTTCTTGTAAAATGTATTCCAATAATCTTTTATTTACAACTTCTAAGTATATAAGCAGTGGGTAAAACAAAATGCACTGGTGACATTAATTAAAATATTACAAAAATAAACAAATATTCGTTGGAATAACCAATCAATTGTGCACAATAAAACTAGGAATGTGTATTGAAAAAGCAATAGCTCTTGTTGAGTTTAATTGCTTCACAATATAATACAATTGTCATTTGGGTCCGTGTTATTCAAGGATCATCGATCCAAGTCTGTATTTTCCCTTGGGAATCACATTCTTGGACACACATCCATGATGTAGACCGTAAAAACCACAAGGGGTGGCAGAAGGGTCCTCAGCTGTAGAGGAAAACTACTTGAACCCGCAGTCACACGACTCCATTCGATATCTACATCAAAGGCTAAGCCGGAGAACATCGTCTGACAAAAGACAAATAACCTTGAGTTCTCCCTCTCTTCAGTTGCAATGATCACTTTCCATGTCATTTCTGCAGCTCCTGCAACCTATGGATTCCCACTTGAATTGCAATTAAGGGCCCCATCATTCTTTCTGAGGAAGCTTTGATGTCGTATGTTTATCTTAAAGAAGCAATCAGAATCGCAAGCTGAATGAATTTCCCCACAAATGAAGAATGATAATCAGTGCATCGCGATGATTTTGATAATCGCGTTCTGATGTTGCTTACTCGCGCTTAAAAATGCGCTCGTTATGACGTGAACGTGGAATCCAATTATGCAAATGTATTGCATTGCCGCCTCTGTGTGACCATTAGGATATTTTATCATTTAGCCCTCCAGCTTGACAGAGACTAAAACTTTCTAGTCCAAAAACATTTTTTATCTCCAAGCAGTGAAAGTGATAAATGGATTTGCCAGTACCGATTTAAACATGAAATGTGAAACGAAACAATAATGGCTTTGCAATTAGAGTCTGCATCAGAGGAAATGATCACTATAAAATTCTGAGAATTCATTCTTATATCAAGGAAATGTGGCCTTCTTCATAATCTAAGGCAGTTTAAGAATATAGTAGAAATATAGAATATTGTAAAAACTTAATTTGTATGATGAATTGCCTTTAACTGAAAAATGAGTGTTTACGATTGTCATTTTGCATTATTGACACACTATTTTCCTAATTAATGCTGTTCAGTTGCTTTGACACAATCTGTATTGTTAAAAGCGCTATATAAATAAAGGTGACTTGACTTGACTTAAGAAGAGAAAAGAGAGATATTATTCAATGAAAGAATGTCATAACAAACCGGCTTGTGTCTGTATTGATTTAGACCAGTGTAATTATTGCAGGGAATATTTGCATAGCAAGAAAAAATCTATTTGATACTAGGTTGTTGTGAGTGGTTGCTAAGATGATCAACAAAACAATGATTTGTAGGGGTGTAACCAGGGTGCGAATTACGGGGGGGGGGGGGGTCTGACCCCCCTAAAGAAGGCTTGATCCCCCCTGATGGATGTCAAAACTATATGTAGGGGGGGTCAGATAGAAAGACGGCTAGCCTACGCATAATATGGAGATTTACTTGTAAATATTAATATGCATTTCTATAGCCCTGGCTGATTTTAAAAATATAATTTTGGCAGCCCCTGAAATGGGTCGTATTGACAGTACCAGAGCGGTTGAAGAATACGCTACAGCGCTCATTCAAAGACGTGCATTTATTGCTTGGACGGAGCAAGAACACCTAAAATGCATGTGCAGATTCAGTCGAGTGATAAAGTTTACCCTCTTCAAATTAATGCTGTTGAACTGAATTTACGGAGCAAAAAATTTGCTAAAATAACCATTAACAGCAATACAGCGGTTATGTCAGATGCACGTGAAAGCTGCATGTGTTAGGCTACTATAACAAACACTGCGTGTTTTCTTTCAGAATCATCATTGGCTGGTAGAAATAGAAAAATAGGTTACATAACAGTTTTTACGTAAAAATGAAGATAAGGTAAAGGTGTGAATAATTAAATTTTAGACACATTGTCTGTAATTTCACTAATGAAAATAAAGCCCTAGGAGAACTGTTGTGCATCTTTGATCAACACACAGCGGTGTTTTATTAATGAATCTACGTTTTTAAACGAATCGAGTGAATCAATGATTCAGTGAACCATTCATAAAGGCAGTCACTTGCTTCATTTCTGAATGAATCAGCCATTTGAACGAATCTATTGAATGAATGATTGAATGACTCACTGACTTAAGACAGGTATTTGCCACCACCTACTGGCGCTTTTAGTTGTATATAGAGTATGTTTTTTTTATATAATTTAATATTTCACTATTTATTTATATTTTTGTATGTTGAATTAAAATATTTCTATCTAAAGCAACTTATATTTCAGCTACTTTTCTGTAATGTCTATTCAGTGTTTTTTTTTTCTAAATGAACACAATGATAACTATTATCTTTAATAACAATTTTATCTTTAATCGGCACATGATGTGCATGTTAATTAATTAATCTCATTAATTTGA